CCATGGGCTTAGAAAAGAGCTTCACATCAGGTGTTCCCTACACATGAAAGAGCAGGAAATAAATGAGCTGAGCAGGATATACTGTTAAAAATCAACCACACAAATGTGCACACAGACATCCATACCTCCATGAGGTAGCAGTAGAGGAAGGGTCCCTGGGACAGGATGAGGTTGGTACAGATGCAGCTTGCTACAGTCTGCTGGACGGCTATAAGCTTCTTCTTAGCCTGGTCAATGCCTGAATGTAGACGATCAAGGTTGCTCCTACACAGAAAGTAAACGTCACACTGTAATCTGATCTTAAACAGAAATTTTGTAGCTTTAAAAGAGCAACTGTATTCTGGTCAATGAACTAACAATAGGTTTCTGCAACACACCTGGAAAGAGAGTCCAGAGCCTTGATGAAGTTGTCACTGTCGCTCTCATCTTTCTCAGTGCTCTCCAGCAAGGCAGCAGTAGCATGCACCATGTCACTGGCCAGGAAGCGGTTCTTAAAGCCAAAGTGAACTCCAAATGTCTGAATGCGGATGTCCTTCATACTGGTTGATTGGGGGAAAAAAAGAAAAAAGAAACCGTTTCAGGTTGTCTGTCAATAAATTCATCTGAATGTAACAGCTAGTGAAGCTCTTTCTTTAAGTTATTTCTAGATTCATACCCGTATTTATTGGAAGACTCCTCAATGACCTCCCTTAGGTTCTCTTTGATTGACATGTCCATAGAGTTGAATTTCTGCCTCACTTGCTTCAGAGGTAGCCTGTTAAGGTAAATCAAGTTAGCAATCTCTATTTAAAAATCACAGGCTCATGTTGAATTTCATTTAATAAAATTAGTAGTTTTGTTGATAAATGTTTCACTGGATTTCTGGTCACTTACCCCATGTCAGCAAGGAACTCTTGGAGTTTCTTTTGGCCATTTAACGTCCAAAGCTTAAAGTGGCATGATGTGTAACAGGAATTACAGATGCTCTCATACAGGGACCAGTGCTGGTAGAGGGTTAGACGGAGGCTGAAGCAGATGGTTGAGGAAAACTCAAAGGGAAAAAGAGTTACAAAGTTTGTATGAGTGATTCCTTTCTCTATACTCGAACATGTGGAAAAGCTAGGATATAAAAAGACCCATGATGACAACATGCCAGGTGAATAAAGGATACTCGTATTCAAAGGAGATCCTCATACAGTCGATGGAGAGAGAGTTCTCCTCATCCTCGTTTCGGTGGTTATGCCGGGAAACGTGTCTCTGCATTGTGGCGATGTCTGTTACATACTTCATACTAAAAGGAGCAAAGCAGACAAGAAAACTTAAGATTGGATAAACAACTGAATGCAAACATGCAGGAAATATAACTTATGTATCCAATAATGAAGCAAAAAAACATGAATGATTTGTTCTTGAGAAATATGCTTTGAAATACTGAACACGGTCTTACTGTGTGATTTTATCATGAACCCACTGGTCCGTCAGCCCAATGACGGCCCACCTGCACAGGAAAAAGAACTCAACATCTAAATGTCTTTACAGTAAGTGTACTGTGTATTTCCACAATGGTTAAGTCATTAAAAAAAGAAAGATTTTATCATATGGCTTACCAGAGCATGTCCTTGGTGTCTTTGGTCAACACCCAAGCCAGCTCAAAAAACATCATTGCAGCCTGAAAACAGACACATGAAACAATATGTGACTATGCATACTGGACTCTAAAATGTGGATATAATGTAGTTTGTGAAAGTTTAACATGCAAATCAAGTTTAATTTTCCATCCTCATCTGTGGTTTCCAGAACTCAAAAATCAAATAAAAAGCATCTACTCACAGAAGTCCCATGATATTCATACTGCTCATAGTCGAACAGGATTTCTCTCCTGAAAAAGTAGTGAAACAGTGAGTGTCAGTTTAGAAATTGTAACGTCTATTTTATTCTTCTTTTAGAAACACTTCACCTTCGGGCCTCCCACTCCCTCTTCGCTCGCTGTCTTTCGATTCTCCTCTCAACTGCCCCCTGCGATGACATGATACATAGACACACAATCATTAGAGTCAACCCCGTTCTGATCAATTTCAGTGGTGCATTCTCATTCTGTTCAATACGCACTTCATCAAATCTCCTTCGTTTCCCAGACGGCTCTGAGCCTTCATCGCTCTCATTTCCAGAGTCACCTCCTTCCTCATCATCTTCATCTCGAAAGATATCATCGTATGTGGGCACACCGAGGTCATCATCCTGTTTGATTAGTAGCTTTATCTGTGGATGAGGTGACAGCAGTTTACACAATGTTACACTTCAGAAGTGTGAGAATGGCAGCACAGTTTCCTCTACACAGGAGAGAGAGAGAGAGAGAGAGAGAGAGAGAGAGAGAGAGAGAGAGAGAGAGAGAGAGACTACAGCTCAACTGATGACAATCAATCACCTGGGTGTCATTGTAGACATTGACCACATCTACAGGGCGGTGAGTGTCACAGATGAAGAAGATGGAGTCGTCGTCCGGCTGCAGCATCTCAAGGAGGTCAACATTTGCCCCGCAGTTGATGAGAACAAAGTACCGGAACTACAACACACCATAAACCAAAAATAGTACATTTAGCGTCAACCTTGCTTATCCTTCTGTCATTGAGTCACGTGTAAGCTCAGGTCCGATCATACCTGCTCTTTGTGCTCAAGGAAGGCTGTGCCAAGGTCCTGCCAGCCAGTGACAGGCACAAGTGTGTACTGGACCTGGTCACAGTGGAACAGCGCCTGGTAAAGAGACAAAAAGATTGAGCTATTATGGTTTAATTCCCTAATTCATCATTACCCTCTTACTGGCAAGGACACAGGAACCGTGAATCTTGAGCCAATGTCACTGAAAACAAAGCTCAAAAGAAACTTTATAGACTAATCTGAATGTATAATCAGCATTTCATGTAATGTGGTAGGGCTGCACAACATGGTTAAAACTTCATTTTGCGATTATTTGGAGAGATATTGGGATATGATTAACGATTAATGATAATCATTTTTGTATCACAAATTCAATTTTCACTGGAAAAAAAACTATTAAAATCATGATAATGTGGCATTTTTTGGGGGGTCTGTACCAAACAAACATGTTGTCTTAAATCTGGAAACAAGATTGTAGGTGAGGTCATCTCTTTAGTACCCCAGTACTTTATTATAATGCTGTGCTGTCACACATTATAGCTTTATCAAACAACTGCAGCTAATATTACAGGATACACAGGATAGGATAGTGGTCGAAAGAGTCATGAAAACAACAATATCTGAGTCACATACGAGCAAAAAACATCAGACTGGGGCCACTTGGGCCTGAAGTGGGAACATAAACTAATAAATGTGTATACATATAAATACAATAAAAAGATTGTATGACCATAATACCTGGGGGTACTAAATAACTCATGGTAGTCAGTGCACATAAACACTATACAGGGCTGAAATAACTCTTACTACAGGATACATTATGATAATAACAGTAATTTGAAGGGTTTTAGAGAAGATAAAAAGTCAACACTAGCTTTGTGAGTCTGCGGGGAGCTAATGTTTGCTAACAGTTAGCGGGTTATCTTACCTGTAGTATCTTACAGGCGCAGAGAGCATCGATGTCTGCTGCCACCAGGAGGGCGACTCTCTGAAAGCAAAGCACCGTACGGACACACCGAGTTGAGTCAAGTATCAGCTCATACAATCAATCAATCCTCTAAAAGTGTGAACAGACCGCACAGCGACGGCGGGTCAAGTTAGCTATCCCAGTGTCACAGCTAGCCTCGGAGCACTCACCTGGTTGGCGACAACTTCATAAAACTCCTTCCTTATGTCCGCGATGAACATTTTCAAAAATGTCGGATGAAAAGGTTTTTAAAAGAAGAGAGGAACGCAGATAAACCAGCGTTAAAGGGGCAACAGCAGCGGGTTGTTGCGGTCTGCTGTCAGGGGCTCGGTGCTGCGGTGGTTGTGTTCCTTGTTGGAAATGTGGCGCCAAATCTGCGCGTCACAGTCCAACCAATCAGTGGGAGGGAATTAACGTACGTCATACGCTCGAGGCCACGCCCACCAGATTGAGGACCCAGACAGACAGCAGTTTATACTTTAGTTTATACTTTAATTTATAGTTTATAGTTTATATATTCCTGCTAAATAAGGTTTTATAAAGTCTTATGTGAACTCTGGTACAGAAACTATATTTCTGTTACTTTAGATCTTTACTCAACAATACTCAACTACAGCTCAGAGGAAAATACTGGACTTTTTACTCCACTGCTACTATTTATTTGATCAGATTTAGATCAATAATACAAAATATAAATCAACTAATAAATTATAATATATTAATATTATTATTACATGTTAAACTATGCAGCATTTTATAATGTAATTCAAATCTGCCTGTGCACATTAATGCATCACTGATAATAATCCAGCAATATAATATTCTGACATGGGCCGTACTGCATAATGTGTACTTTTAAGTATACTTTAAATACTTTATGTACTTTTTTAGTGTTGCTAGTTTAACTCAAATACAATATCTCATATCCACCACTGCCTAATCCTTATTGGGAGGGCTGAAGGAACGCACAGTCAGGGTTATAGCAAACTATTATAAATGGGGAGGTCATAAGTAAGCATTTAAACTATAAATTAGGGAGATCACATTTATATAAAATACAGTTGAATTAATAAAGACAATTTTAGAAATAAACTAATTTCTCATATCCTGGCTGCAACCACAACCCTGATGGTGACGTTCCTTCAACTCTCCTAATTTAATCAAGATTAAGTGCTTCTATATTGTTATGCATTAGTATTGTATATAAAGCAATAGCTAGAAATGTAAAAGTGAAGAGATTTAAAACAGAAAACAAATTTGAAATAAGCACATTTTTGTTGCTATACCCTGTTATTAATTCCTTTTCTCACCTTTCAACGTATCCTTTAAAGTTCATATAATGCCTGTAACCATCACACACACTCTAAGCAGAGAGAGAAAATAAGCAGCGGACAGGGTGTGTATTGCAAGATTATTTAGAAACATCATTTAGTGTCACCAAAAGAGTCATTAAAAGCATCACAACATGTACAATCAGGATACTGTATCAGCATGATAGCGGCTGCTATGTGCTCCTACAAGCCAAGGCAAACTTATGATGAGCACAACATAAGTAAAGCAAACAGGCAAGTTTTAATATACGTCATGACAGAAGATCTGAAGGAGACCAGACACGATCATCAACCTGATACAGTATACATGTGCTGAAATTCACATAAATTAATAGAAATGGATAGAAATGTGAGGGTTTGGAAGGAAATAATGAAGAAAATATGTTGCTCTTCAACTCTAAAACATGCAGGATTTTATCAAAATGCAGCAGAGTCCCATTCATTTTTTTTTTGTCTTAAAGATCCCCCAGAAGCCCATTTGCCCACAAATATGATTCCTATTATAATGAAATAACATTAATAACATTTAAGGTAAACAAACAAATATTCAAAATTCAAGTAAAGTCCTACATGCCCCAAACGTAAATACACTTAGACCTGTACATCATCTCATAAATACCTGTAAGATTGAGTAGATTGAGATTTCTCTCAAAGGTTTGTAAAAAGTAAAGTTGGCTACTCCCTCAGTTGTAAATTTAACATGTTTCCACCTAGAAATCTTCACATTTGACTCCATCAGCAACAGAGGTAAAGAAAGGCAGCATGCCACATTTAAACATCATGTAGTATCTTTGCACCTGAAACCTATACACTGTAAAACAATAAAAAAAAATGTAAAGCTTGAGAACAAAGTTGTGTACACGACATGACAGAGAGCATACACTGTAACATGCAGTATATACTTCATTAATTAATTAAAGAGTAATATAGTAAACAAAGGCACAAATTCATCTGTTTTTTTTACCGAGTTTGGTCTGAAACCACTGTGATCCACCTGCTTTAAGCTCGATTCACAGCGCAAAAGTGCTTTGACCCTGCAAACCTTTGGCTGGTTTCACACACAAACAAAAACATAAAAAGTTTGGTTGTTTCTCGTGTTTTCAACTTGCATACAACAGTAACTGAACGTAATAGTTGACGTTCCTTCCAATTGAAAACCAACCTTACAAACATTAACAAAAAGATAAAACCAAAAAAAAGTAAACAAATAAAAATAATAACCGGACCACAGACGGTAGCGTTCACAGTCTTAAATGAAAGTCGATGAAAACTACCAAAAAAACCAAACGAAAACAAATGTTTCCACCAAACTTTGCATGCCGATAAAACTATTAACAGGATAGAAAACCTGACCAGCAGGAGCACTGGGAGGTGAGCACCATCATCTGGAAAGGTTACAGTCTGATCTGTCACTCCAACAACCAACCCCCTGTACACCACGTCTCTCCTCTTTCCACCTCTCTGGTGAACGTTCACACTTTAGACGGGTCGGCAGAGGAGCCAGCAGAGTGTGCAGTAACAAAAACCAGACCTACAGTAAGCCTGAGACCACTGATGTAGGAAAACATTTATCTCACTTTTACAGTCACATTAACTTGTGATGTTAGCAGATGTGCTGTGGAGCAAACAACTATGAGAGGAGATGTCTGGAACTGCTACATCGAGGCGTTATACTGAAGATTGGGCATATGAACCCTTTTCCAGAATATATTATTCAAGCAATCTGTGAATGGAAACATTCAAAATATAATATAGGAAGACAGAGAGATTTAAAGCACTCGAGACAGAGGCAGTAGAGCAGAACTGTGGAGATCAAACAGAGAAGTGGTTTTACACTTGAAGGAAACCAAAGAGGTGCTTTCAGATAGAAGTGGTCCGTATGTTGACGTGAACCATGAGACAATATCAACATGTCAAATTTTACTGTACAGTTAATAACATGGTAGCTATCCTTTTAAGTTAAATGTACTTTTGTTATTGTCAACAAATCTAATGAAAACATCAAAACCAACAGTGAATTGATCCCTCTGATAGATATTGTCTGTGTAGATCTTAGTCCTCTGTGCCATAGATCTCCATTTTCCCCCCAAAACAACCTGGGCACTAAATGTGTATTAATCCACGACTGAAAATAGACCCCCAACAACACGTTAAGTAACATTAGCTAAAAACTACAGTGCCTGGCTGAAATACTGAGCCTTTTTCAGAAATGACAAGTACAATAAATAAAGTATATTAGTGAGTGATTGTTAAAGTTTTTTAGCCTTCAGTGTGAATAAACAGACACAGAGTGATGTGAAACATTGTTGGTTTTGGACTCTTCATAGAATTTGTTGACGATAAGAAAATGTCTAATATCTAATATCTCTAATATTAATAATGGACATTCCTGTGTGAACATTTTATCCATAAACTGGATTGATTCTCCAGAAGCTCAATTAAATATGACATGATATCAATGTATATAAATTATACAGACAATAGATTTTGTGTTAATTTTAACCATATCGCCCACCCTTACGTTAAGATATGAAAACCTGTTTCTTCACCAGTTTCCCTGTCGGATTAAATACTTTATGGTGCGGATAATCTAAGCTCAAAGGTCCACTCGCTAATTATTTGAAACTCTCAACCTGATCTCAGTCTTTAGTGAGTGGAGCTGGCATCAAGTGGCATCACGTAACCTAAATTTAAACTTTTGAGCATGTGATATCAAGTGGTTTGCATACGGTGGAGAGATTGTAACTCTGGTGTTGGTTTAAGGAAGTCCTCTGACTTCTAGGTGACGACTTTCACAGTCAGCTGAGTTTGTGTGTTTATGGTGTTCATTCAGCCTCCTGTCCTGGGTTCTTGTCTCACATTTAGGTCTTGTGATCACACCTGAACCAGATTTAATTGCTGAAGACGACTTTTCACTTGTTTTGTCTTACCAAGAGTCCAACCCTTATATATTCAATTTACAGTGATAAAAAAAAGTCTTCAAATCTTCACAGTTGTGAAGCTGCAACCACCAAATGTTTGACATTATTGGCTGATGAATGACATCAAAGCTTAATCAATTATCAAAAGTGTTGTCGATTAATTCACCTACTGGTTTAACCACCTAATTGTTTCGGCACCAAGCTGAGCTCCGACTCTCCTCACCATATACTGTTTCCAAAATGAACGTCCATGCACAAACTGTATACAAACTGTATATACTGTATATACTTTTATACATACTGTATAGACACTGTATATACCGTATATAAACTGTATATACTGTATGCAAACTGTATAGTCTCGACCCTGCTTGTTGAAAAAGCTGCAAGTTTAAAAACAATCACATAATCGTGACCCTACATGAGAGAAAGTGTTTCTCAGCAGCTGAGCTAGTGATCAATGGGCAGTGGACTATTAGTGCAGTGCTTGTGTAGTTGACCTGCTCAGCTGTTGGGAGTATTTAAAGTCATGTGGTCTATAGGCACAATACACAGGGTGTGCAGGGCTGGGCCATATGGATGGATAATAATAAATATATTCACCAGACCCTTAGATACTGATGAATGTTGTATGTGATAATGTCTGTTTAGGTTAGTAAAACCTACACTTTAAACCTTGTTTATGTAGCTGAAGTCCACCATGTTTAACCGGAGTTGTTATTTTACAGCAACTCTCAAGTGTTTCAGAAACCATCCAGATGAAATGTGACATTTGTCATTTTAGTTTGGAAAATAAACTACATGTCATGTTTCACCATACAAAAAGAAAACTCCTACAAAACCGTTACAATGATTGACGACTAACAATAAATATTGGTATACTGCCCAGCCCTAGGGTGAGAAAACAGAATGAGAAGGATTACCATGTAACCCAGAATAAGTGACACCAGTAAAGAGTACGATCCAGTTACAGCTGTTCTACAGGGGCAGGATGTAGTTGGAGTTGGCCAGCTTGCGCTCCTGTGCGGCGGGAACAGTCTCTCTGTGACGCAGAGGCCTGTGGCAGTCGGGGTCCTGAAGTGGAGGGTAGTGCTGTCTGTAACACAACCAGGCGAAGGCGAGACCCAGCAGAGAACCCACTAATACATCTACGTGAGGGAGAGAGGAGATAACACACACACATAAAGTTTAAATACACTCACATCTTCTGCTCATGTGTGAAGATTAAAATATTTCGGGAGAATATCAACCCTCAGACAGAGTTTGGTTATGAGATACCCAAGAACCAGAAGCTGTTGTGTTTCACTGGTTAACCCCCCAAAAAGCAACAGTTTCAATCTTAAACAGCAGATAGACATAGTGTGGGATATATACTGTTTGTGGACTAAGGGGGACAACTTCCTCTGGATCACTTGGACTTCAAACAATGAGCTTTTGTATGTGATCTAGATTTCAAGTCAAGTTTTTAAATATTTATTCAAGCAATAAAAGTGTGGCCCTGGAACAGATCTGAAAATGCTTGACACAGGCCTGAGATAAACACATTTATTCAACATGAACGCACATTAAAACATCATTTATCTACACCTAAATGCTCACACAGGGGGATGCTGGGGAGGTGGAGAGTAGCAGTGAGGAGGCAGAACGCAGTGTTTAGAGAGTGTGTGGAACATTGGACTATAAAAGGACTTTCCTGCCTGCTGAACTACGGCAAAGATCCATAAATCTAAGAACAATGTGGACATAAAGCATGAAAACCCCACTTAGTTCTCATGCTTTGTCAGTGTTAAATTAATGACCTCTCCAGCACTTGCAGTGATAAAATGGTTCCGGGTTACAGTGTTTGTACAGCTTCTTAGGAGAAAAAGTCAAGCTACATAAACCAAAACCTTCCAGACTCTCAAAGTCAATCATCACATCTAAATTGTTACTATAAATGCAATTGTGGAGTGAATTCCCCCAGTGTGGGATCAATAAAGTCTATCTTATCTTATCTTTAAGTTAACAGACATCCTTTATACCCACAGCCATCAATATATTGTCATTTACCAGCTGTTCATATTATCTTTGTGTTTTGATCAAGATTACTTAATGTGCCACGAGAAACAAAATGACAACAGAATAATTTCCTGTCAAATATTAAAAGAACAGTGTATTTGAATATATACCTTACCTTAAAAACATAACAAATATAAAATTGAGCATCTCCCAAACGTTAAAGACGTTGTACAAACCTTGTGGTTATGTAAATGTTTTACAAATGAAGGTTCAACACTAGTTTCTTTTTCAAATGAGCTTGCAAGTTATATTTGCATGCAGAGGTAGAAATGAACTTTATCCTCAGTGACCTGCAACTGTTCCGGATTCTACTTACAACATTAAATCGTTTTGAAGTTATTTTTCTCCTTCTACATAATGAATATAGTTTAATAACTCGCTTCATTGACTCAACTGAAGTTCTGCTAATTGTTTGACATCTGAATAAAAGATTTAAACCACAATCAGTCTTCATTATTATTTTAGTCATTCATTGGTTGAGTTACTTGTTTATTTATAACTGATCAATAAATGCATCAGTTCAGACCGCAGTGCAAATGCAAACCAGTTTCTGACGGAAAGTTACATCCACAAACTTTGGAGAAGATCAAATTTAAATATTTAAAAGCTCAAACAAATTATTTACATAAAAGCTATAGGAACCCCCCTTATCCAGAGATCCTGAAGAGAAAGAGTGAGAGCGAAGGTCAAACAAACTATAGGAACACATCCAGTAGTACGCGTCTGACATAGCCGGTGCCACTTCACGTTCTTAAACACTAAACAATTGATATTATATATATTCCATAACTGTAATGCATTAATTGTAATAATTTCATTTGTAAGGATTTGACACTGTATCTTTGTGCCTCAGATGCTATTTTTATTGCTCCCAGGACAACGGGACATCTTGCATGAAATTATCTTCTTATCAAATTTTGTTTAAATTTAATTTTCCTGTCTGCAATTTGGCTTTGATCATCATTGTGTTTGCAGATTCTTTTGTTTCAAATTTGTCTGGTGTTGTGTTCACTAAGAGTGGAACAAACAAACAAGTTAAACAAAAAAGTTGAACAAAAAAGGTCACCGAGTGAAGTGTGGATGAGATCGACACTACAGGTTGATGTAAATCGATTTAAGGAAATAACTTTTAAACTGTCCTATTTGTTTGCTTGACTATTGGTGATCCACATCATATAAATATTGTTTTTCATAAGCTGCATTGAGCCATTCGAAGCTTTTCTGTGACTCTGACCTTGCCAGTGGTGTTTGTAGTCGCAGGTTCTGGAGAGGGCAATCACTGCTGCGATGAGTAAAGGGATGAGGAAGGCACACAGCCGCCATGCTCTGCCTCGGCCCGCTGCATTAAAGCAGCGCAGCTTTCCTCCGATGTACAGCGCCGTGAAACCCAATCCCGCAAAGGCGACTGCGACCAAGGAGAAAGGATAGACAGGGTGGTCAGAGCCAGAGGAAGTTTCATACACAAGATAACTCAAAGAGAAAGGGCAGGGATTTGACATGGAGAGATACTTTTTAGAGTAACGTGGGATGTTCTCCTGCTTATACAACAAAATAAGACCCTGGAGGCTAAAATACACTTACATACATCTATTTTCAGATATACCACATACCACATGCCCTCTTGCCCCACTTTGTGCATTTGTTGTTTTGCTTTGTTGCCTGCTGAGGAATATGTACCAGCTACTGATGCATAATCAACCATGAAAGGCCCTTACAGGAAGAGTGTCCGCTGGGAAAGCTCTTCCTGCCCTCCATGACGACATCTGGGTCACCGCTGCAGCGCAACTCCAGGTTCATCTGACCGTCTGGGAAACAGCGATAGAAGAAGTCTGGCCGTGGCCTGAGGGAGGGACAAACACAGGACAGATTTAAGCTTTTTTTTCCGCTGTGTAACATTATCATCTGCTAGGTTGTCTACAGTGTTTACCTGCCAACGACAAGTTTGATGACGTTGGTGAAAACTCCATTCAGCACCAGAGTCAAACTCACAGCTGGATGACAGAGAGAAACAACAGAGTCAGCTCCAAAAACTGGTTGACAATTTTAGATTTAATATGAAAAACCGAATGTCTGTATGCAGCTTTCTTACCCAGCGAGGCTTCCTTCACATCTCCTCGCTCTGACTTCTTCAAGAAGGCGAAGACCAGAATTACAATCAGTGGGGTGAAAACTGCCACACTCTGAAGCAAAAAAGAGAAACGGTTTTAATCCACTTATAGGGAAATGAATGTGTGTCTGTAAGCATGAACATACACGTTTTTCTGTGATTGCTTCTTTGTGCTTCCACTAAAAAAGGGACTATGTCAGTGTTGTCCATTAACCAGGCTACTTACACAAAATCCTACAAATATTGCAATTTTTGGGAAGCACACACTGGTTTAAACAGACTTTTCCAGCAGCCACAGAATAGAAATCAACTTGCAGAGAGACTTGTTTGAGTAAGGTCAGATCTGTATCAATACTTTAAGCGTTTATGTCCATCATCTCTGTTTTAGTCTGTGACGTTCTTGCTGAGCAGCTCTGCATTTGAAAGATCTGCAGTGGCACTAAAGTTCTTGACAAAAATAAAAGACATGCCACATCCACTGTGGTAGATTTTCCCATCTGAAGCAACCATCGGGATTCAACAAGGGAATTAATCTAAAACCTTATGATCTGCTATTGGAGAATCCTTGTCATGTAAACTGCTAGTGATTAATGTGCTAAAAAAAAACATTGGTATGGTCCTTTAATAAACACAGTAGGAGGGAAGTAATTGTTGTCAGGGATCAGGTAAGAGGCCACAAGGCTGAACTGAGGGATTTATTATGTTCCATTTTATCTCAGAAGCATGCAGACGTATTACTTACAAACATAAGAGAGGTGGGCACGTGGTCTTTCTCCACACGATGGAATTTATACAACCACATCTCCTCTGGTTGTATCTCACGGTAGAAAGGAGGAAGCTGCTCTGTCACACTACACAAACACAAGAAGAGCAGTATTATAAAAACTGTGCCTCCCTTTTAAATTATGGATCCATAAAGCAATGATGCAAATGATTCAAACGGTGGTCAGGCTTACAGGAACACAACCAACAGCGCCATCCGGATGGAAACTTCGGACAGGAAACCACGAAGCAGCCTCCTCTTCATTTTGATTCTTGGAGTGGACTTCAGTCAACAGCAAACATCATCACTCCACTTTCTTTTAACTTAACTGGGACTAAACAAAATGAAGAGCTGAGTTTTAGTTTATGCCATTAGTATGGGTGTTTAAAAGGAAAAATAAAGTACTATCTAATGAGATATGAGACATTATGGGCATGCAAGTGGAAAAACAGTAAATCTAATTACTATAAACTTCAGTTACATTCAGCAAATAGTACAAATAAAACGCTGATGGCTCATCTGAGGAAAATAATAAACTGGCTTTGCTTTTTCTGAGTACTGTTTGCCACTTAAAAAAAGTCCTTCACACCCACTGATAGACCTCTTTAAAGGACAGTGAGAAAGGACACACTCAACTCATATTCCTGATTCTCATGTTGGTTTTGTTAGGATGGGATATGTCTGACCGATAGTGGATTTTTAGGAACAATATCAATATTGATATTTAAACAATCCAGTGGCCAATATTTGCTTTTAACATAAATACATGACCTAAACAAACACGTTTCGATAAGGACTCGGGAATTTTATCATTAAAGACGTGTGACCAAGATATGCACTGAGTGGGACAAACTATGTAAGAGAGACACTGTTTCTAAAGTACCCAAAACACATATTTTTTGTATCCATATTTTTAAAAAAATACTTATATATATATATATATATATATATGTCAATGACTGATATACTGCAGCTGTAAAAGTAGGGATGTAACGATACACTCAACTCTTTTTTTGAGAAAAACGCAACACTAGGTTCATAATACAATTTTAAGAAAATGACAAGATTTTGAGTGAATGAATGAAAGATTTTCTTAGAGTTTAATTTTCTTATATTTTCTTATCAAATTATATAATCATTTTTTTTTAATTCTGAGGTAACTGCAAAACAACACTATTTCCTTTTGTGAAGTAAAACTGATGTCTTTGTACCACGATACCACGATTAATATCACAATTAATTTTTCATTATCGTCTTGCGATATATCTTTACATAGCTAGTGAAAAGTTCATATTAGTTGATTTAATGGCCTGTAAACCTAACTTCCTACCTTAAACATAGTTTATTACCTTAGACATGTCTAAAAAAAGTCAGATTTATTGAATTGAAACTATATGCAGGGTGTCAGTGTAAAGGAGGGTGAAATATCGTTGTGATCTGAAGAAAAACATCAGCGCATCTCTAGGTTTTCAAAGTGTAAAACCCAATATCACAAACAACTTCTCAATGAGCTGTACAGTCCCACATCAGCAGAGGATACTGACACTTGTCCCTTAGTTGTTAGTTGCCTCTACAAAGGAGGGAAACACTACCCAAAACCTAAGAAATGAGGAAAATATTCTGCTTTCCACCATAAATCTCCACCAGTATATACACCTGTTAAAACATCAGTAAAGATAATGTTAAATATCTTTGAGCTCTTCCTCTGTGAAGCCCCAGCCCTGTTTAAAACCTGATCTACAGGCCAACATGCTGCTGCACCTGAGTCTGCCGCCTCTATTTAATCAGACACAACATTAAGCCTCTCTTTAAAACAACAATATTAAACGTACGACTCGCCACCCTCTGTCGAAGCACTGAACAACACAAACATTACCTACCTGTCTTGTACGAAAACAAGATACTAGCACACTAAGCTAAGCTAGTTAGCAACATCTGTCAAACAAGACATCTGGCTCATTTCCGCGTTGTCAAACGGGGATAAATCCCAGTTACGTTACTAACCTCTACCAGGGCGTTTTCTTTATCTCTTTATCCTCATATTAACGTGTGCTGTTAACACGAACCGGGCCTCCACATCCTCTGTTTGTGCCGACGGTGGAAGTCGTGCATTTGAAGACTTGAAGAGAGAAACAGGGATGCCCCGCAGAGGAGGTGAGCGCGTCGTGAAGCTAACGGTTGCACCACAGCTGCTTCCGGTTTGTTACACAATAAGAGCATGTTTTATTTTCAACATAAGAGCCACTCACTCGCTTGGTGTGCAGATTTCAAGTTTTTATCAGCAGATTAAACTAGAAATATGTTTTCTTTGATGTTATTTTCTCTCTCTCTACATGTCAAGTCATTTTTTTATTAAGTCCATAAGAATAGTGCAGTAAAAACTAAGTAAGAGGTTCATTTGGTTATACTTATTTAAAAAGTAATCAGTAAAAATGTACTTAAATTAATGTGTCACTTGTACTGTGTGTTGACTTGACTGTCAATTAGTTTATGAGAAGGCAAATTTGTTTGCTACTACTGGAAATTTGTTGGCAAATATTTAGAATATTTCTCGATTTTAATCATTATTGGCATATTTTTATTATTAGATTGATCGACTCTGTACTGCATGTTTCTTCAGTTTAACTGTGTTACTTAGGCCTTATAGATCAGCCTCATGTTTGATAACATCTGGGTTTCACATATTTGTCTCATTTAGTGTAAATATTAATCAAGGACATCTGATTAATTTATACATGACCACTGTACCAATTTATGGTTTAAATATGCCACAAATATTTATCCCATATGCACTGGAGTTTATTTAAGTTAATAACCTGACAAACACAGGGTACATCTGAGTCTGAACCTATGGTAGCGCTTTGCTTTATAAACCGGAAATGGTCGTGTAGGTGATTTTATCTGACTTGACAAGTGGATGCAAGAAGCCACGTCACGTTACAGGATGCCACCTAGAGGTTAAATCAATGATGTTTGTGTGAGTTTTTATTTCCCTGTCCAATCAATGAAACTAGTTTCTCTTATTTTACAGTGTTATAGTTTTAAGTTTCCTTATTTCTGACTCTCATGCATGTGTGAATGTCAGGAGACTATTGGAGGGTTTACCTTTTAAACTGGGTAAATACGTTACCATGGACACAATAATGATGAATTGTTTTATTTCTACTAAGCCTGGAATCAACATTAGATCTGATTTTATATTGCTTTTGTCAGATTACATTTTATTATTTCTAGTAGTTGACTACTTTGTGATTAGCTGTCATCTGATTGCTTAACATATTGTAAAAATCTGTCTTTTACAACCACTTAAATCAAGTTGGTTAGTCTATATGACGTTCGCTGAGTCATATACAGTGAGAGCGTTTCACTGAGACAGAGTACAGCTTTATTAAAGTCAAACTTCAGGCATGTCTGAACTCTTCAAACTCAACTTTAGAATGAAAAAGGACAGAATCAATATTCTCAAATAAAAAGACAGTCATGTACAAAAAGAGTGTCGTCTCAACAGTCACACACATTTAGAAGCAGAATTGTACAGGCAAAAAGAGAGCACGCCACAGTAACATGATTCTATGCAAGTTCAATGCAAACTATTTACAGGTTCTTCAACAATATGCAGTATGCATTAACACAGGTTGAACAGTAATCAACATGGTATTTTGTGTTCATCCACGTTTTAATTGAAGCAACACCAAGAGAGATAGATATGACCCCAGTTAGAGTTACCGTAAGTAATTTCACTACAAGTAAAAAGATGAGTGCTTATGAAGGTGGATTTATTTATTTATTCCAACACTATTTCTCCTCTGACAGCATGTCAAATAAAACCTTAATGACAGTCGGCAACATTGCACAAAAACCAAAAGACGTCACAGTTAACTGAAACATACCCTTTGACAAACAAGAGGTTGGGGGGGGGTCCATCCTAAATTTACGTGTACATGAAAAATATTCATAATTAGCAAAAATTCATGGACAAAATCTTCCTCAGGCGATTTAAGGGTCACTTAACTGAGAACAAACATGCTGTCTCTTTAAAGAAATGTGGGCACTACAATGAGAATAAACCAACAAAACATACACATCAGATAGTATTTTTAAGAAAATGAAATGTTGCACGCTGGGACACTTAAATTAGGCATACGTAATACTGCGGCTGTATCAGCTGACAGAAGTGGACAAACTGGCACAAAGTAATTCATGATCATGCAATCTGTAGGTGCAAAAAAATAAAGGCTGTTCGGTTCTTTTGCACACTCTGTGCAATGTGGTTAAAAAAAAATAATAAAAGGAACACAAATAAAAACAAAACATTGGCATTAAAATCAGGCATTCGAAGACTCTCCAACTGAATACAGAAGTGGGTTAAACCAGTGTCTGATGCTGGAAGCTGAACAGTCACCTTGAGAAGAAAGAAAGGCTGTAAGACCAGTTATATAATCACAAGTCATCAGTCAGACAAGTTTTGACAAAAGTCAAGGATTCCTGCGGTCTGATAATCACACAAGTATGAATCCTATATAAAAAAATAATACATTAATAAATAAAAAAATAAAGAAAATTCAAGTTTAGACACACAGACTGTTGTAAGTATGTAAGTAAAAAGTGCGTTAATGATGCACCTACCTGATATTGAGCATATTGTACTGAAGTGGCCTAATTCCTACAGCTAACTGAGCAATAAAGAGTCTCTGAATGTGAGTTTGGCAAATTGGGAGCAGTGCTTAGTTGCACGAGGAAATCAGCAAGTTTAATCTTTTTTTAAAATCAGGAATCTACGGAAAATATGGGAAAGGCTTCCTAAAAAAGGGTTCGATAATAACAGAAAGAAAGTGAGTTAGTTGTTGAATGCAGAAAGGCGAGAACACTGAATCGTCTAAATTTGTGCAAAAAACAGGCATTTAACGGCATAAAGGACAGAGAAAAAACAAGTCTTTCCTAGTCAAAGCCTTTTTCTGGTCCTTTATTTGATGAATTGCCTGTGTTATGTCTGTCGGCATGTATGTCATGTGCATGTATTTAGCATATTAAACCCCCCCTCCACTCAAACATGCCTATTATTACTTCACATCAGTGTTTGAACTTCACTGTGCAGAATGATTTAAGCTCAGAGTTTGACACTAGAAAGCCGTTTTCACAATTATCCGCTGAAGGGGGAAAGTTTCAAATCATGCCTGGAGTTTTCTCACTTTTCTGCATCAAATGGCTCCCCTTCTTTTATTTTCATGATTTAGTATCTAGTCTACGCATTCAAAGAGAGCCTGAAGGAACTGAAATCACTTGGAAACACTGGCACCGTTTCACCCTGTGGCTCGACTCTTTAACTCCACGACGGGAGGCTTTAAACAAACATCTTTTAAGGGCAGAAAACACAAACAAACATGTCATGTGACCAGGGTGGAATCACAAGCAAAAGGCTGAGGGATGATTACAGATAAACTTCCTGCTGTGATGATCACTTGAGTCAAAAAACAGAACAAAACAAAACAAAACAAGCATAAAAACTGCTCTGAAACTGAAACTTTACATTCCGATATTGAACTGCTTCACACTGCTTTTAACACCAATTACAGTGAGTCACGATACAGGTCGATGAGCAGCGGCCATTACCAAATGTGGAATCATTACACCAAAATGTTAAAAAACCAACAAAAACGTATGCAATGACTAGATACAGATATATCATGTAAAACTCCCCGTGTTTTTTTAAATAGTCTATTTCACTTACACCGTGGTGGAGAGGGAGACAAATTACTGCACTGGTGGTTGAAAAAGAAATTGGTATAAAATGTGGTGCAATAAATACAAAAAATTTTGGATTTGACAGATGAGCGATTAAAAACACTGTACAGAAGTTTGTATTTGTACATTATACTGAACTGGACTGTTGTTATACCATTACATCTTTATATAAAGCCCAGCCTTGAGGATGTTCTCCAGGTGGAAAATGACAACGTGCCTCTCGTGGACACGGATGACTTTTTTTTTGTACAAAGCCAGGCTGGCAGTCATTCCTACTTGTGCCAAAAAAACAACAGCATTCAGGCCACTTTCCTCAAAAAAAAACAACAACCCAAAAACACGCCCAGCACTCACCGCGTTTCTGACCGAGAGGAAAAAAGTTACAACACAGTTTAAATTCCGACGTTACTACAAGAAGAAGAGGTATCCATTTTGAAACACTTGTCTTATGTTCTTTTAATATACATTTCTGTATATGTATGACCTAGCTAAATTGTGTAGCGACAAGCTGTGTAAAAGTGCTTTTCAGAAAAAGTTTGGCAAAACAAAAAAAAAACTGAAGAGAGAGAGAGAGAAAAACAAGCATCAAAGCGGTCACAGTACACGACGTTACTGAAATGAACTGCATCTGGGCAGTAGTTGCTACAGCCAGAATCCAACTTAAGGCTGATCAACAATACTTTAAGACAGCACCAGTGATCACAAGCTGAGCCCCTCCATCTACAATACAAATAACAGTAACTGCTCGGAGGAAATGTGGGGAACAGAAGTTTATCGAAAAAAGAAAATAAAAAGGATCTGTCTTGTTGTTTAAAAAAGCGTTTCCTTCTTCCAGGAACAACCAGAGAGGCGATGCTCTGTCCCTCCTGATCTTTAAGTACTTTACAATAGTATGAGCCAAATATGTACACAATGGCGAGTGAGACTGGCAATATGAAAATCACAAGTACTTCTGTAATGTCATACCATTACACTATATACCATTATATTTCACCTTAATAGGACTATTTTCACAAGGAGGTCTGCGTAATGCTTAACACCTAAACAAACAAACATAATACACCACTCACCGAGATGAAGTGAGAGAATCTGTCTGTAAACATTAACAAACATAGATACTGTATATAATTATATTCATCTATACCCATAAGTATATTAAAATCATGTCTAAGGAAGGTTGGAATGTAGTGTGGTCCTGAAAAAAATTGCACAAAATCGGTCATCCCCCCCCCCCCTCCGTCTTTTCCTCCAAGAAGAAGAGATAAATAAGATGGTGGATCACGTCGGGAGTGTTGATTGGCTGTGGAGGAGGAGAAAAGGCTCGTCTCCGTACAGCCATCCTGTGCGTGAGATGCCGACCACAGCTTACAGCAGGTAAACAAGGAGAGGAGCAGCGTGGTGGTGGAGAGGGTTCAGCTTTATACCTTCCTCCTCTTCCTCTTCCTCCTCTTCTCTCTCTTACCTCTCCCTCCACCTCACTCGTTGAGTTCTTCAAAGTGCCGGTAACTGACGCAAAGTGACAACACTTGAAAATTTCCACAACTGTAAAAATTAACAAAAGAAACATAATGAGGTGGTGGTCTGGGCCCTGCGATGGGGGGGGCGCAGGCGAGCTGTAGAGAGCGTTAGTAGTGGTGTTTTATGGCGAGAGAGGAGGGAAAACGGCGCACAATGATGCCTGGACACTCCCCCTGCGACACGCCACGTCGCTCTGCTCTCTCCACAAGCGGCATCGAGGTGTTCACCAGTGTGTCTCGTCTCTGAATAGGGGGCCATCGCACTGGTCAAAAAGCACTGTATTCCCTTTCGTAGCGCACTGCTTCAGATCAGAGGTGGGTCGGAGCCCAGGAGGCCGACAGGAGTGCACTTTACAGGGAACGAGGTATTGAGGGAGCTGCGGTGTCACTCTGTGGCCGGCTGGCCCGGCTCCGTCTCTGGCTCCTCTTTGACCCCGGCGGGGCTCAGAGTGGAACGGCGCGGCTGGGCCGAGCTGGAGTTGGAGCCCAGGGGACTGACAGGGTCGTGACTGGAGCAACAGGGGCGACCCTCGAGGGAGGAGGAGGTGAGCGCCCCCGCCTCGTGATCCCGGCAGAACGAGCGAGGGCAGAAGTCACAGAGAGACGAGGCCGGGGCGCCACAGACGGTGCAGTCGTGCCACGGACACTCCCAACGTCCTGCAGACAGACAGAGAGGTTTGTTATGAAGAAAGAGCAGCGCTTTCTGACCCACTAAAGGTCTCAGAATAAAGCTTTGGTGTCATGAGATGATTTAACAGGATAGGAAAGCAGAAAATACATATTTTGTTTTTTTCTCTTCTGAATTACTGAATAATTGCACCTTATTCAGATTAGACATTCTTTAGTTTGAATGGGTACAATATAATAGAATATAATATATACAGAGGTTTTAGTCATTTGGATCAGGATATCAGTATGTGAACATTACTGTTTAAAAATGGTTTAATTGGCACTGATATGATGATGCCAACAATTGCTTTTATGCTTTTATATGTCCTGGGTTTGAATTGTCTACCTCTGAGATCTCCCGCTCCACACCAATACAACAAAGGTATACAGAAATTTTGTTTGTAGGGGGTCAAGCCACTGAAAAACCTCATTTAAAAGATTACACAAAAACTTAAACACCTCGATGTGATGTCCAAAAACAAACTCAAACTGAATTTTGCTTTTTTTCCCTTGTGAATTACTGTATTGTTTTAGCTCTTCAGGCTTCTAAAAGCATTCAGATAAAACAAGAACAAAAGAAATATTCCTTACAAGTCACAACGAGTGACTGCAAGTAGATCTTACCTGTTTTGAGGGTTCAAACCAAAAAGTTTGGGAATTGAAAAAGTTGCAGATTGTTTCCATCAGCGACATAGAATAAACGTCCGATGTCACTCTAATATACTAATATAGTTTTCTTTCTGTCTGCATCACAGCAGGTACGCTATGCTGCTTAAATGACCATGAAATGTTTGTTTTAATTTGATTTTAATGAACACATACACACACGGTCATTTTGTCATTACCATATGGTGGTTTGGTGAGGTTGAGACACAGCAGGTGGTACGCTTTCGGACAGTCTTTTCTGTCACACATCACTAGCTCGCCTCCTTCTCCGCAGCAAAAACAGAAGTACTCGTGTGTGTGTTTGCCTTCTGGCCGCAGCTTCCGCTTCTTTGGCTTCAGCTTGGCGTTCCTGGCCTTCTCCTCTTTCTCCATCACCACAGCACTCTGGAGGAAACATTACAAAAAAAAAAAAAAAAAAAAAAGGCATCAAACTCAGCTTCCAAAGTCAGAACTGGATTCACTATGACGAGAGGTAAACGTCCTCACCGTCGGCTGCACCCCGAGGAATCCAGAGCAGTTGTCTGATCCACAGTGACAAGACGTTCTCCTGTTGCCCACACAGTGCAGGTTGTAGTTGAACGTCAGCTCTGTGTCTGCAGGAACATCAGGAACAAGATTCACATCAAATGGTTCATCCAACCTGCTCTGAGCGCACGTAAACGTATACAGATGTTTGACAATTTAAAGGAAAAACCAACAGAAACCGGATAAGTGTTCAATTCATTCACATCAATTCATCCTCATCAAACCATTCATGTCCTGTATGAAAGCATCTGCATTAGTCATGTTTTCCTTTAATTTTCCACCTGTCTGGACGTAGAAATGTAACAGATGGTATGTGAACTCACCAGCCTCGATGTCACAGAGGGTGAAAAGTCCGATACGAACGTCTCCGTTTACTGTCCACTTCTGCGTTTCACAGTTCGGGCTGCAGCTGTGGTTCATAAACCGAGCAGAGTTTCCTTTTGGGCCAGCGTCTATCACACGATCCTACAACGAAAGACCGACATTGAGACACAAGGCTTGAAGAAATGCTTATTGGAGGTCCTTCTTCTCAACAGTGTATTAGTGGGACACTGATGTTACCTTGGTGAGGGTGAGCATGTAGAAGTTGGTCACGTGATTTTCATGAGCACGCTTGATTCGCTGCTGGCACTCCTCAGAGTCTATCACCTCTCCCACGTATTCCGTCACAAAGTCACCCTGGAGGAAAACAACACATAACAACATTTACATTGTTTTAGCCATCACACGGACAACTTAATTTAAAATGACAATTACTGAGAGGGGCGGGAATCTATGTCAAGAACATGTGGCGATCACTGGGTCACAAAAGCCTGGAAGTCAAGGGATCTAAGATGGTTTTGGGTGAAAGGATTGGATGCTGAGCTCAATGCCCACCTTCCTGAGGGCCTGGTTGGTCTTGAGGCCCCAGCCACATCCGTCTGTCTTTACCACTTCTGTCTCTGCATACAGACGCTTGGAAAAACACTGGTTCTCACAGATGTCTCCTGCAGGACACACCTGACAACAACAACGACATAAAGGTAAGAAGTTAAGAGGAGCGATCCCTCACTTTATTGTTCAATAAATGAGCTTAACAAACAATAACAAACATGCACACAGACCTGTGGATGACACTCGTACTGCAGCATGCGGTTGAGACACTGAGACTGGAGGCTGCAAGGATGTTCATCTGTTGGTCTGCAGTTGCACCGCTGGATTTCTGACAAGTCAGCTACGTGCACCTGCACTTTCCCCACTGGCTTGTTGGACTGACACAGGAAAACACCAGCAGAATAAGTAAAAACACTAAAACTAATGGAATATAACTTCAGTGTATAAAATCTTTTAAGTAAGATATGAAATGACGTTACCTTGATGAATTTGTAGGGGGGAGGTTTGCGAGAGTTGCGTTCCTGCTCTAGAGCCTCCCTGCTCTCCCTCTGTGCCTTAAGCTCCTGAAACCGCCGGGCTGCTTCTTCCAGAGCTAAAACAACACCAACAATATCTCAGAAATTTTGTATCTTTTAATTGTTTACTACTATTTGCCCCTGTATGGTTAGTTTTGCAGTTGGTTTTATGATATTTTTTAAGACACTTTGTTTGACAACTTTGTTTAGAAAAGTGCCGTATAAATAGTTTATTGTTACTATAATTATCATTATCATTATTATTCCAACAGCTTTAAAAGATGAAATCACAACAAGGAAACTTTCTAGGAAGAAATTACCTTTCTTGAAGGTTTTGTTGATGTTGATCTGACCCGTGACAAAGTTCTTGTCGTTCTCCACGTAGGGGAAGACGCGGCCCTGGTTGATCCAGTAGTAGTCATGGGAGCCGAAGAAGAAGACAGGGAAGTCACCGATATCGTGGCGAAGGCTCTGAATGTTTGACGGCACCAAGCGAGGGTTGCAGATCTCCGCTGGCCACCACCTGCAAGGTAACGGGACAGGGACATTGTTCATGGAGACGAAGAAGAGGGAGAAAAGTGAGGTTAATGTTTGTGGAACTCTGACATCTATAAAATCAAACGTTTGGCCAACAGAAATGCTTTTTTTTGGTAGAAGAGACCTTATTTGTGTCATTGCCATATTTTAATCAAGAACCAATCTAGCAGACTATAAACGGAAGCATAAATATTAAAGGACATGGCTCACAGTCAGTGTGAGACAGGAAAACACCAGTGCTGTGCTCTGCTCAACATTTCCTGAATACCTGCATCTATAATGTCACATCCTGTTTTTGTGTTTTTGTGTGTGTGAGGTACAAAGCTAATTTGCAGTGATGAACTTAAAGGATAAGACTGGTGATATTCTATGGTTATGTCAACTAATTACTACTTTTACTCTACACACAAAGTCTGACAGGAACAAACAGTGCCTTTGTTAGGGACTGTTTTCAGCTGTGATTTGTTGCAGTAGTGAGTATTTACAGCAGCAGGGTGGTGTATATGGGATTGAGTCAGAATAAACTACAGCTCCCACATTCACAGTAATAAAAGGAACATGTCAGGCAGCGCAACAGTAAGGCTCAATGATGTGTTTTAATAGTTTTTGGAGATCAGTGGAGCTCCGAGACACAGAGGAATAAGACCTATATATATACACACACAATACAAAAGATCAATTCATTGTTTGTCTCTGGCTTTTTATTGGATCTTTTGATAACAAGAAAAATATAGAAAATCACCGGACTTATCCTTTAAATGTAACCGTACCATAAACTGACAGTTGAACAACCCTCAGCAGTCTATAATCAGTGCTCTCTGCATACCTGTAGTTGCCCAGTTTGACCCAGACAATTTGTTTGTAGTGAGGTTTCTTCCCTGCCCTGCAATCACTGCAGGACCACGCCCCCTCCGGCATCTCCATCTCCAGACACTCCGGGTGGAAGGAAGCCGGGCATGAGTCGCAGCACAGCAACTTGCCTCCTACATTTGAATGGATGTACACATTGTATGTATGTGTGTGTTAGTGTAAGTGTGTGTGAGTGTGTGTGTTAGTGTGTGTGTGTGTGTGTGTGTATGTGTGTGTGTGCATGCGTTGGTATGCAAAGAGAGGAGGAGTGTATAATTAGGTGATGCACATAAAACCTGGACAAACTCTGAATCTCATTTGCAGACAAGCCTAGAAGAAGTATGGATACTACAGAGTCTACAAATACAGCACCATGTCGTGGTTTTCCAGCATCTTACTGCGATTTGGAAATAAAGTCTTTGCAGGGAAACAACTCCCATTATAACATCTGGTCATCTATTCTGAGATGAAAAGCTACGGCCAGGAGCTTTTGGCTTGAGTGAAGGCTCCAATGAGAGCCATGCCGTGTGTAAAAAGACTGAAAATAGTTGGAAACCGCTGCATGTGATTCTCAGGTCGGTTACAACTTTTACCGTAGCAGTTACAGCATGTCTGGCAATCAGATTCAGAGCACTGTACCAAGACCAGTCTATGGGAAATACATGCGGCAGCACAGGAATAAAATCAGCCAGCAAGTTAACAATTAATCAGGGTTATAGTCAAACAAATTATTGGCAAAAAGCAGGCATGCAGTCCTGCCAGTAAAGCAAACTTTCCCATCACACATCACATCCCGCACGGACCAGCTTGCATGGAATCATATTTCTATATCGCAATTTTCAAAATGTTTTTCTTTAATTAAAAGTCTAATGAAAATTTAACAAGAGTAATTTCACTATTGTTGCGCTCAAATTTAGTACAGATTGAGATTATATTCCATCCAAGGCAGGTCCAAAAAAAATGAGATGAGCCAAAATTTCATTTCATCTGAAAATTTCAGTCAAAAATAAAACTTAGTTGCAGCTTAGAAGAGGTGAGGCTGGACAAGGCCTTTAAAATAATCAAACACAAGCCCAGAGTGCTGAAGCAGAGAAGCAGTGCGTCTCCAGCAGCGATAAGCTCCACAGACCACAGACAGAACCTGAACTAATCCAGAGCATCCTGCATCAGGGCATCATACAGTAGTTTCAGTACTGGAGGTTTGATGGCCAATTAGATTTTCCCAGCAGAGAAATTGTACTTGTTGAAAATTGAAAGAATGCTTGATTGATCTTTATTGCAGAGATATATATACCCAGACTGAGTGCTCATGCACAGCATGAACAAACCTCACAATGGGCCTTGTGCAAGAACCTCTCATACGGACAGATTAATTAATGTGCAAGTGATTTACGAGAACTTTTCTTGTGCTTAGAATTATTTATAAGGCATGAACGAAATTCACAAGCCGTCCAGATCTCTTGAACAAGCCATGTACAGATAGTCTGTGTTTCTCCACAAGAAGTACTAATGCTTGTTTAATAAACTTTTTCCCTTGGAGGGCATAACTTAAACTTTATGGTGGACAACAGGCCAAAAGCAAACACCTATTGTTTAAAATGCAGAATGGTACTGGTCCTTAGTTCCCTTAATTGGCTGACTTCCTGCTCAATTTTCCCCACCATGCTCAGATTGCTGCTAAATACATCTGGTGGGGCAAAGCGAACCGTATGGCGGGCCAACTTTGGCCTGCGGGCCACACTTAGGCCAGCCCTGATAATGAGAATCATAATGACTTTAAATTTGATGCACAAATGAGTTAAAATCATCAAAGCTTTCCAATTTTAGTTTTTTTTTTTGTTTAAAAAGATTTTATAAGATTTATTAAGGGTGTAATATCACCTACTGGAAAACATCCCCTTGACTGTCTCCCATTTCTGAATGTGGAGGTTTATTCTTGACCATGGGAACAGACATACTGTGATAAAAATTAACTCAAAGTTCACTTCCAACAACAGAGGCAGCAGTTATTATGACCATCTGTTGTCATGTGACCCAGGTGACACCAGCAAATTTCCACCTGCTGAGGAAGCTCCCGGGGAATATCTGAGTAAGTGAACTTTGAGTTAAATAAATTAAATAAAAAATTGTATTTATTTCTTTATTTCAGTACAGCAATGCTTGGATGACAAATCACTATATTAACAATAGTCTCTAATAACACTACTGACACTGATAAATGTGTTCAGTTTTTGTTTTATGATTTCTGACAGCAGGACTTGAATGAAAGTTGCTGACAAATAAAGTGGAGCAGATGGCCTTATATAGTGATTCAGGAGGATGAATTATGCTAATGATGATTCAGTGAACAGGTGATATTCACAGGCATCAACCCCTTTTCACAGCAGACATTTTAACTCTTTATAACGGGAAAAGCACAGGTGTTATTAATAACTCTCCTAATAATGCTCTGTTTTGTTCAGGTGTCCCACTAAGACAGTGTGACAGTGGGCCAGCATGCACAATATCAGGACACTGAAATTGAAGCAGCTACACTGAATTAATTTTGTTGTTTACACCAACGCTTTTCCTACAGTGTCATGTCAAAATGTCTGTGGAAAAGACCAATTTATAAAAGTTTATTATTAATAATACAGAACTGTTCTCGCATGAGGCCCACTGTTATCTGTTAATGTGTTAGGGAACTTGGCTGAGGTTACTTTGCGCCACTCTGCATGAAAATTAACTGCACATTTAACCAGTTAATTAAATTTTGCACCTCAAGGCTTTGAAATGAAAAATGCGTACAAAAAGGGAAACTAAATCAGAATGGGAGCAGGCACAACACAAAACACAGACCAGTGGGACAAAGGAGAAAGAGAAAAACTGTGCAGTTACCTTTCCCAACATTCTTTTTGGTAGCTGACGAAGGAGAGGGAATCATAGGTAATTTCAACTCAGCACGATTTGACTCAGTCAGAAGGTAGTGGGACTTATAGGCATATGAACTTAATATGGTGTCAGTAAGGTCTTGCACTAACAGCCCTACACAAGACACACAGGAAGAGACGGGGGTGAGCCGCAGTCAAACTCGAAATTACCCAAAAATTCACAAAAAGAAGAGAAAGAACAAACACACGCACAGTCTCTCTCACACACACGCACACACACAGAAGAAACAAGTAAAACAAAGTTTGTCCCAACACAAAGAGGCCAAACAGTGCACTCAACTTGTTGTTCAAACAGGCAAAACATCAGATCTAAACTGGTTAAAAGTAATTAAAAAGAAAAAAAGGGTAAATCCTGTAGTCATCACCATCCAGGACAGATGGGATTCATTTAAGTGGAGTGCAGCGTAACAGCCTGGTTCATTCATAGTATTAGTATCGGGATGGAAAACAAACATTACATTTCACAGCGATGCTATTTCATGAACAACAATGTCAAACATGAAACATGTAATATTAAAAAGATAAAATATCTAAACAAAAGTATGCGAGGTTTCAGTTTTCACTCATGAGATGTTACTGCAGTTGTGAGTGTTGTCAAAAAATGGTTAAACTCCCCCAAAAAAGATGAAAAGACTACAGTCATGGAGGCTGATCAGGTTCCTCCAATGTGAAATGCAAATAAGAAGAACTGATCTTGCGGTTTGTCACAAGATTGAAATCAGCCAGTGGGAGCAAAGTGTGTTCAGGGTCACTTGTTGAATCACGGCTGTGGGAGAGGAAGGCCGTTAGTGTGAGAGCTTACCTCTGGCACACAGGAAGCACCAGCCCACATTGACAGGAGAGGTGAGGAGGCCGTTCCTCTTGGCACTGCCGTGGCTGCTGCAGATCATGATGTGATGGGTGAGGATGACGCTGCCCGCCGCCACGCAGCTGTCTCCCGTGTGATAGGCCACCGGGCAGCGGATACAACGCATCAGACGACCTGGATGGGAAGCAGAGGAGAGGACTCAGTGACCGTTTTGTAACCAAGCTTCTGACCTTTTAAACTCAGTGGTCACTTCATATGTTTTTGTGAACTGTTCCCTCCACAAGTCACAAAAGTCCTGTAGTTGTGATACGGTACAGCACTGGTAAAGAGTCCAAAAAAAGTCTAAAATATACAGTAGGCCTATATCTCAGCACTTCATTAGTTTCTGTGAAGAAAACTAAATGAAATTGTTGTTTTTAAATTTTTAAATTATTATTTAAGAGCTAAACTTTGAAGACACAGACTTTGAACACAAGTTACATTCAGAGAGCCTTCACTCTCTGATAAACAGACTCATCCTGCATTAGAAAAGTTCAAACAACCACAGAGCTGATAGAGCAATACAAAGAAAACACTGAATATCTCAAAAAAGTTGAATTGTGTATAAATATCAGGAAAACTGATGTATTTTATTCATTGTACAGTTTTAAAGTTGTTCTCTATTGTTACTGTGGTGTATTGAATATAATATGAAATATCCATTAAATGTGTCACTTAGTCAGGGCTCGCCAGTTTAGTCAACGATAGAAAATGGGTCCCGTAAAGAAAAAGGTTTGGAACCACTGCAGTACAGCACGCGTAGAGCTGTGAAAAGGAGCTTTTATAATAAATTAGGTCAGATTCCTTTATGGGTTGCAGCTGTAATTAAAGGAAATCTGAAGGGAAAAATATGAACACTTGCTACGTTATTTGGTGGCTTCAGCCTTCAGTTGTTAGCGTTTGAATTTTAATTTTTTTCTCCTTGGTTCATTCTACTTCAACAATACAAAAAGGCATAAACATGGTTCGACACTGAACATTTGATGTTTTGCACCGCTGGTTCTCAACCTAATGATGCTGAATGATAATGAAACATAGTTTGAGTCCCATCAGTCATGTAGTGTGAAAACCACAACAACAACTCCCAGACTGAACGTTGTGTGGAGTGAACAGTACAGAGATCTGACAACTTCAAAAGTCATGTAGTGTGACCAAATCTTGATCATCCAAATGGATGGAAGAATAATCTGGAGGGTTGTGGGACGTTTAATGGGACTGAAAAAAAGAAAAAACTAAGTTCTGCTATGCAAATACACATTTCTCTTACTTTGATTTTTTGTGAGAAATATTTGATAATTTTACCTTTTTGGGAATCAAACAGTTAAACACTTAAATTAAACCATCTGAGAAGCTTAGTAGGAAAATATCTCTGCTAATAGCTCATCAACATCTGAAACACCAAAAAGATTTGGAGCCACTGTTATAGACCGTTTAGACAATTATAATTATTATTTCTTAACCATAAAACTATGATTTTCTGGGTGCCCGGTTAGCTCAGTGGGTAGAGCTGGCGACCCATGTACCGAGGCTGAGTCCTTGCTGCAGCAGCCCAGGGTTCGAATCCGACCTGCGGCCCTTTACTGCGTGTGTTCATCCCCCCCCTCTCTCTCTGCCCCCCTTTCCTGTCTGTCTTCAGCTGTCCTATCAAATAAAGGCAATAAAAGCCAAAAAAAATACTTGAAAAAAAACTATGATCTTTTATTGGGATTGACTCTACATACTAATACTCAAACACAGTATATACATATATTTAACATAATTCACTGAAGGATGTTATTTGAGATGACCCTTTGAGGGGTTTTAAGAAAATATAATACACTATGTAAGAAATGCATAGGCTGCAAAGGTCTGACTTTTAGGTTTCTTTTACTTGCTTTCCAGCTTTTCTATCAATCCACATGTAGCACTTACAGTATAGTCAGAATCAGACAGCATTAATCCTGCCTGGTGCCAAAGGTATCAATTGTACTTGATGGTGTCGCAGCTTAACACCTGAGGGTCATTTCTGTTGCAAACAGTCCATCCCCATTTTTTCCTTTCTCAATATATTTCCAGCAAGATAATGCACCATCATCTAAAGACATTTCCAGGAACATGGCAGTTACTTTATAATGGTCTGCAGCCTGCAGATGCCTCTCACCTCACATCAAATAGAGCACTTTCAGTTTGAGGTGGAACCGGATGTTTTAAGTCACAAAATATTCTGTAGGAAAAGCTGCACAAGATTTCAGTCGAGGTAAAGTAGGACCTTTTTGTCAGTCCTCTCAAACTTAAATTCTAATTCTAATTTCCCTGAAGAAAAACACAGTCTTCCAAACTTCAAGCTTCATCTTCTTGTACTTTTGTCTTATATATTCTAGCAGGGAAGTACAGCTTTGGCCTATTTTCAATTGCTACTGATTAATAACAGCTAGAAAATGTAATGGAAAAAGAAAGTTTCGTTTCATGCTCTTCACACTTTGAGTTTGCAGTGGAAGCTGTGGGACAGTGAGCTGCTGCTACATCACCAAACAGGAAATCAGCTGAAAAACTAATCTGAGGCCATCTTTACCTTTACTGGCTCGTTGCAAGTCTCTCTCCAGGCAGCAGGTAGAGCAGCTGTGCTGGGGGCAGCAGAAGCCTCCGCCTGGACTGCTGGTGGCGCCGGGGAGTTTACGGACACAATCCTCGTGGTAGTAACAACCACATCCAGACACAGAGCAGCGTGTCACCTCCCGCCCCGCCGTTTTACAGCTAAAACAAGGATGATTGCCTAGAGACAGAATGAGAGAGAGAGTCTGGATAGTAAAAAAAGCCAAACACAACAGATGTGATAGTGAAGCTGAATCCTGATATCCACTCACCATTTCTACATTCCAAGCAGGTGAATCTGCCTTCAGGTAGGGACGTCAGACCAAGACACTCCAGGTGAAACTGCCTGTTGCAGTCACCTTCACACACCACCAAACCCTCTCCATACACCTCGCAGATCTACGCACAAACACGCAGAGAAAGGCGGTTGGAACATCATATGAGACTCAACACCTGTAAGCTTTTTAGAAGAAAGCAAAGGGACTCATGAGCAGCACTGACCTGGCAGACGGTGTCTCTCTTGCCAGTGCTGCTGTCCTGACGGGACAATCCAGAGTCCACGGACTGAGTATCTGAAGCATCTGCATCTGCTGCTGCTGGACTGTCAAGACTCTTCCCAAATAAACCCTGTGAGATGGAAAAGAAGAGCAAGTTGCTGATGTGTTTTGTGTGAAAGAATCTATTTGTACAAAGCAAAAGATGCAACTAACACAGCACAGTGTGTGAATATCCAGACTGCAACTAATGATTATTTCCCATTATTAATTAGTCTTTCAACTCTTTTGTTGATGAACTGATGGTTCCGTCCATAAAATGTCGGCAAATAGTAAGAAAATCCCCATCGCAAGTTCCAAGAGCCCATTGAGAGGTCTTCCTTTGTCCAACCAATATTACAGAACCCCAAGATATTCAGATTACAATCGATAAAATTAGATAAAATTATAAAATATTCACATCTGAGAAGCTGGAATCACTGAATCTTTGACATTTTTCCTTAAACAATTAATTACTTGACAAAACGACTCATTGTTTTGCTCGAGTTGTGATGAGTGTAAAAAAGTCCAACACATTTCTGAAAATACAGAAATAAAAAAATGCTATCCGAGACTATTTTACTGTCTTATAAATTCTGCACTATGTGCTGGAAACATCTCTGTAAGTAAGGCAAATACTGTATGTATATTCTGACTTTACCTCTGGATGTTTATACATATTCTGTGTGAAAGAGAAACTGTATTTTCCTCTTTAAGTTTGTGGGTATTTCTGTACATGTTTTCTTATTGTACCTGTGGATCGTTGAGGCCTCTTGAGTCAGAATCAGAGGTGTCTCTGTACTGAGAAGAAGCCATCTCCACATCTGTTGAAGCTCTGCTTCGCTTCTTCAGGGGCTTGCAGGCGTCTGAGATCTCACTGGCTCCTAGAGGATCACACAAGGCGGGGGAATAAAAAAAAGATGGATTTAACTTTAGTATAAGGAGTTCCCACTGCAGAGGGTTACAGGAGGCATGAAATAAGGTACCCATACCTTTCTGTGAGCCCGTCCTCAGTGTGGTCTCAGGAGCCATCTCCGCCTGTGGAGGTGGTTTAACGTAAGTTATCATTGTGGAAAGTCTTGCAAGGCCACGTTCAGGAGAACATTAGCAAAATAATGAAGTCTCCTCCCTCACTTCAACAGGTGTACTGATACAGAGGTCTCATACAGAGAACTACCAGAGTGCCTGAATCGTTATTCATTGTCTAACCTTAAGCAACACGCCCCCATCAATGCTATATTTGGGGCAATTTTGCGTTTATGTGACAGCTGACAGTGTATAGTGTGTTATCTGATACCTGTTCCTTTTTGGTTTTCTTCTTAGGGACGGGATCGCTGCCTCTCTCTGACTCAGACCTGCTCCTGACTGACCGCCGCTGCAGCTTCCTCTCCTGAGAACCTGAAAACACAGAAAGATAATGAGATTTATATCTTATAATACTTATGAAAACAAAACGCCCTACATGTCTGTGTTCTACCAACCGTGTGGACTACTGTGGTGGGATCCAGGAGAGGAGGTCGGCTGCATTCCTCCCTCCTCGCTCCTCCGACTGGCGGGGGAGCCTCTCCGCTCCTCTCTCTCCTCCCCCTCTTCCTCCCCTTCGTCCCCGTCTTCCTCCTCCTCAGGACTGGGCTCAGGTTTAGCTCTGCTGTCCTGATGAAAGCATCAACATTTGAAACACCCCTACAGGTTAACTTTGTCATGTATACATTTTTCTGTCTGCCTGAGTCACACCAACCTCGGGGGAGCAGTATCCCAGGTCGGGCTGCCTGGCCTCTCTCTCCACTCTCTCCTCCTTCTCTTCTTCTTTGTCTTTTTTCGGAGACGCAGCGGCTTTTTTCTGCAGGAGAGGCCAGTCACACTTTGTGATCTCCACATTGAGCCTCTTCATGGTGATGGAGAGAGGCAGCAGCTTTCTGGCTGCTGCCGTTTTCCAGGCCCTGACCGGTGGCGGTGAGTCCTGCCGCACTCGTGGATCACAACCGGAGTTCTGCTTTGGGGAGCTGGTCTTACGCTGGTCCCCCCTCTGGTTCTTCTCTTCATTTGAGGCCTGGGAGTTTGTGCTGTCGTCTGCGTTTGAAATACTACACTGCCTGCGTGGCAGCTGCCTCCGTGGCGGCTGCTCTCTGTCGGGTGACTTCACTCCTCCGTCTTCCTTCTTACTGAGCGAGCCGCTGGAGCGCCGGCTTCGTTTCTCAGCTCGGATGTTGGGTTTCTTGCTGGGCGGGGTTTCATTAGGTTCCGGGTCAACGTAGATGAAGGTGTAGTTGTCGATCCGCTCCTGCCGCGACATCACGAAGGCGTCCTCTGCGTGGCCCACACCCACCTCCCACTGAGAACGCTCCCGCTGAGGGATAGGCTTCAGAAGCTGGAGAAGACAAATGTACCAAGTTATTTTTTTTCCCAATTTTTTAAAAATACTTTCACCCAAATTTTAAAGATTAAAGATTGTTGTTGTCTGCTGTCAGAGGACACTGCTCACTGTAATTCACCCTAATTACATAAAGGACACAAGTTACTGAATACAAATGGCTCCCAATGACTGAAATTGTTACAGAGAGACCTTCAATTTGGCGAGTTATTTAGAGAATGTATGAAAAATACATTGTTGTACTATAAAAACAGATGTGTTGTAATCCAATGAGGCAACAAAGTAAAATTCAATTAATTTATACAGTGAATCTTCTTCTTGTGGAGAGGACAGCTGATAATATGCTTCCACTGATATAAATTCAAAAGAAAATGCTAAAGAGCTGCTAATTATTCTTTCAAAAAGAAAATTTGTGATTGGGCTTTATAAATAAGTGTATATTGAAAATAAAACATCAATAAATAACCATGTTTAAATAACAGGCAGGTGCTCTTGAAAAGTCTCTTGATAATTTAAGATATATTTTATATTTGAACTGTATTACACTGTTTCATGACTGATCTTAAAAGTAATGAGGTGCCACTTCTACCAATACAGTAATCCAGGGCTCAGGAACCGTAGGCCATCTTTGGCACGCGATAGATTAACCACCAGTGCACTGGCAGTAAGTTTACAACAGAGTTTTTTGGGAATGTTGAAGCGCTTTCTCATCCGTAAGCCAAATGACCTCTTAAAACAGCCACAGACAGTTGCTCTCCCCGTCTTATTAAAAGACATTTTCATCATCAGGATGGCAGCTTTCTTCTATATAATAACAATGTCCTGATTATGGGAGACAAATGTTTGTTTCAAGTGTCTCTATGCAGGTTGCCAATATGGATCAAATACAATTACAGGTCGGTTGTTGTAATCTTTTCTATATCTGTTATATATGATGAGATTGGCTCTTTACTAATCCCATACAATTATTTACTGCACACATTTCAAACATACATCTGTGCTTTACAGAATCACAACACATATAAAGCCTGACAATATTTCCTAGATGCATTCGTACGTACTTTGTGTTTCTCTACAGGGTTTGAGGCTTTACGCAGAGTCTCAGCCTGAAGCTCATCAAACTGTTGCCTCCCCTGGTACATGACTATCCTCTTCTCATGGATCCAGGCCCGCTCAGCGACACTGCCAAAGAACTGGACGTGATACTCCCTGTGACCTGCACAGACACAGAGGAAGGAAAACAAGCTGCAGCGTGTGTGCTTCCACTTCCATACACGTGTGAATGATGGAGAGTGATTTTTGGTGCAAGTGCGCTCGTACCTCTGGTGTTGATGCGAGTGTGGACCTTCATCTGTGGGTCAGAGGAGACCATGCAGGGCCACCAGGGATAGGTACCCACTTTGGACCACACCAGATCTCCAATCACAAACTCCTTACAGAAGCCCGTCTCTTGGATCACTGATGGATGATGGACCTTCGGAACCTAAACGTGAACATAGACGAGTCACCGCTCTGTTTTTCAAACAATTGTAAAAGTGTGTTGTTGTGTGTTTACGGTAATCTGCAGTGATCTGTGTGCAAAGAATTCAAACTACGGAGAGCGAACAGTTGAGTTCTTGCCTTCGGCGTCTTTGGTTCAGTTTTGATAACGGTCTTCTGAGGCTTCTCCGTCTGCACTGGAGGTGTTTCTATCTGCTGGGGCTCGATGTGGATGTCCTCCGTCTGGCCCGTGGTACCTGCCTGTGTTTGGCTCTCGTCCAGGCTCTGTTCATGGACCTGCAGCTGCAGCCTCGCACTCTTTTTCCTCTTCTCCTTCTTCCTCTCATGTCTGCGCTGCATCTGAGCGGCATCGTTCTTCTGAGACTCCTTCTGAGTAAAATAAAAACATCAGTCATCTTTTCTTCTTTTTTTTGCTTTTAGTAACACACAAATGGATCTCTCTGTCTGCTGATATCAAATGTTCCTCAGATAAACACTTCTGAAGTTCTGTTAATAAGAAGATGATTAAAGGAAACTAAGATGCTCACAGTGTAACAATTTTAATTGGACAGATTAGAGTTAAAAAGTAATTTTGCGTTGTTCAATATACACTGCCATGTAATGTAATGTAATGTAATATAATGTAAGACATGCTGTTAGCACGTAGAGCTGAAACTTATAGTCAGTTGATCTATTGACAAATAATTAATCAACGATTTTGATCATTGTTCAAGGTACACAAACGATGCTGGTTCCAGCCGACAAAAAGTAAAGATTATATAAAAGTAAATTTTGCGTTAAGGAATATCGTTTGGACAAACAGGCACCTCGGACTCCAGAAACGTGTAATTTAATTGATTTTTATAAGTAATTGATTAAAAGAGAAATTAATTGTTTAATCAATAATTACAATATACTTATTAGTTGAGGCACTAACTATATAAATTATACTTCTGGTTACTCTGTTCTGAGTTTAAAACAAACTGCTGTTTGCAGTGTCTCTGTGCAACGCCTCGGACATCTCAGTCGTTTGTTTATGTTTATTGTCTCAGATAAATAAACTTGTTATCTGATGTAAGTTATCTATGAACAGTGTGAGGGGTGAGAAAAGTTCAGGCTACCATCGTTATTGTCTCTTTTAATTTATTTGAGTATAAAGTCTGACTTAATCTACAATGCCTTCAGGAGTAGTTCTTAAGGTTTATTAAATATATAAAATAATATACAGTTGAGATTAACATCGTAGCAAAAAGAAGCCAAGAGGCTCATGGCTCACATTGATGAAGCTGGTAAGTGGGCCTTGAGTTGAGAACTTTTGTCCACTCAGCAGGATTATCGTGGAGCAATTTTAATTTTTTTTTCATTATCAATTTAACTGCAGTTCCCCCCCCCCAAATAATCAATTACTTGTTTATTCAGAAATGGTCAGAATATTGTAAATAAATGTCCTCTGCATTTTCACAATGAAACAAAACTGAGATAAACAGCTGCTCCTTTAATATGAGAAGCAGGAACCAAAGTATATTTTGTATTTTTCATGAAAAATCACTTAAACAATGAACAAATATTGTTGCCAGTTAAATTTCTGTTGATTGATTGATTGATTGATTATGCAACTGATCATTTCCGCTTTAACATTAAGTATACGTGTTTTTTAAATTTCATATCATACAGAAGATTATACATTCCTATGCTATAGATACAGTGTGTGTGTGTGTGTGTGTGTGTGTGTGTGTGTGTGTGTGTGTGTGTGTATCTGAATGCATTACCTGCAGTTCTTGCAGCAGGTCTCCACACAGCGCAGATTCAAACAGCTCTTTTCCGTTCTGATACGTCTTTATGATCTTCAGTTTGATCTCTGGAGAGCTGGTCTTCTTCAGCACCCCACCGGGGGTGTTGGACGGGACATGAGAGGGTTGAGAAGAAGGGGTACTGTCCACAAGGGAGGGCGGAGGACTGGAGGAAGGCAGGTGTAATGGGGGAGGAGGGGGTAGAGTGTGGGTCATGATGTGAGGCGTTTGGGACAAGTGGTGCTGGGAGGGCAGCGGCGGCGGCGGAGGACTCTGTGGGTGCGGGTGGGTTTGTAAATGTGGTGGGTTTGAGTGGAAGTGGTGTGCATGGTGGTGGTGATGGGGGAGATGGTGATGGTGGTGGAGGTGTGGGTGATGTGTGGGCAGAGGGGGAGACACGGGAGACAATGGTCTCTCCTGGAGGCCAGGACCTCTCAGGACCGTCCCCTCCCCCGGCATGAGGCCGTGATCTCCGTAGCTCCGTATGGCCCCGTAGCCGTTAGCCGAGCCGTTGGGAAACTGCGAGTACATCGAGAACTTGGCCTGCGGCTCGTACATTCCCAGACCCGGCGGGTAGCCGTTGGAGACCTGCGACATGTCCTCCGAGGCCGAAGGCGGGTAGGAAAACTCCGCATCCAGGGCAGCATCATTGTAGGAGCGTCCACCATCCTCGCCCGGGTCACTGCCGGTGTCGCAGGTGCCTTCCTGTCTGATGTTGGCTGAGTCAATGAGCTGAGGGGGTTGCTGAATTGTATTTCCCATGATCCCTTGCATGAAAGAGAAGGAGAAATCCATTGTTGGGCTCCTGCATCCTTAACTGTCTTTTTCTTTGACTGGACCTGTTGGCAGAGACGGATACAATTAAATGAGGCACAGACAGGTTTAACTCATTATGACTGCAACAACTCCACACCGTGCTTTCAAATGACTCAAATACCTTGATCAAGATCATCTTTCTCTACGAAGCCCTAAGAAATGACAGAACACGTAGTAGCAGCAGCTTGACATGTATCAGATGTACTCTGCCACTCTCTATGCATCGTGTATGTGCATCAGATACAGTGCCGACTGCAGACAGCTTCATAATGTTTCATCCAGAGAATCCAGAAAACAACCAGTTCTCCTATTCTGTTATAATACCCTAACCCCTGGTTCACCGTGTGTCAGTTGGTTTGTGGTAATTTAATTAAACATAAATGTATAATAATAATAATAATAATAATAATATTGTACATAAACCTGTACACCACAGCCTCTAGATAAGGTAAAACTGTAGGACTGGAGCCTCCCGGTGACCTCGTAGGTAAGATGCATGCATGCATAAAATATAAATATGACATCCCCACTTTGAGTCCAGCGAGGGACGTTTGCTGCATGTTATATTCGGTCTTTCCTGTTCATATCGACAATGCAGTGCAATAAAAGTAATAATTCAAAAACGGTCTTGTAAAAAAAATGTACCACCTGCTCTTACAATTTGATTTAACACTGTGCTTCAGTGGTGGATATTTACAGACAGATAATAATTGCCTATCAGCGGCCTTTATGTTTTATATGTCGTGTTGCATCATCCAGAGCATACATATAGTATCTCTCCAATCCAACCTCAGCTCCTAATAAACCCAAGAGCGGAAACAATTAGTAGATTAATTTTCATAATCACTTTCAAACAAAACTGGCAAAAAAAATATCACTGCTTCCTGCCTCTCAAATGTGATTATTGGTTGATTTGTTAAGATATATATATATAAATGTGGTAACCTGAATATCTTTGAGTTTTGGACTATCAGAGGATTTCCCCATATTTCATAGATCAATGAAAATGAAATAATCAACAAGTGAATCTGTAAAGAAAAATGATTGTTAGTGTGATAAACCCACAGTGCTGTCTGAATGTTAGATACCAGTGGACAATAAGTGGACTTTTATGGTCAAACTCTTCCCAAAAATCACCATCACATATCTTAAACTTGCTCTCAAAACAGAAAACAAACTCCAGTTTGTGCTTCTGCCTGATAAGTTTACACAGCCTCCTTATTGATATCCATTAATCATCTGTGTGGTGCCTCTTTTCACAAACTATAGATCATTTTGAGTTGTTTATTTTAATTACATCAACACAAACACATGGTGGCCTGCTCTCCCAAACAAAACAAAGAGCAGCTACCAGTGTCCAGTTTCCCCGCTGCTCTTTATTTAACATAACACTTTAAATATCTAGTGATTGATTGATCAGGTTTTAAAGTGTAGCATGCCCACAGTGAGCAGACTGACTGTGGTTTAATTGAACAGACTCGGGTTGCTAAGCGTTGCCCGGAGGTTGACGACGGTGATGTAAACATCCATAAAGGTGTCAACTAACGGTCACTGGACACATATATCGACTTGTGGTGGCCGTGGTTAACGTTAATACTTAGCTACAACCTGTGTGGTCACATTTATATTATATTATATTATATATATATATATATATATATACACACGACTGCACAGACAAACATGTTTCACTGAATGATCTTATAGCCTTCTGCGATGCTAGCCCCGAAGCTAGCTACCTGACATCAAAACGGGGGGAGGGGGGGGGATGTCTCTGAAGAGACGTTAACCGTTTTTAACGGTCGGAAAACGAACACGGCGCGAGGACACGACCGTTTGTCTCCAAACACGCGCTCACAAACGTTTGCGGTTACCGTTAGTGAACGTCACACATGGAAGAAGACGACAGAGGAGGCTAGCTAATGCTAGCTAGGCTAACACTCCAGTGCCAATATGGCTGCCTTTGCCTCTTTAAATCAAATTGTCTGGCGTGATTGTACCTCCATGGAGAGGGAAAATGAAGCTAGCTGCGAGCAGAAAGCGGTCGGTGTGGAAGAAAGAGGTGCGGGGAGGAGAAGGAGAGGTAGGAGGAGTGTGAGAGGGGGACAACAACATGCATCGACAGCGGCAGCAGCCATGGTAAAAACACGCTTATCGCTGAAGAGGAGAGAGAGAGAGAGAGAGAGAGAGAGCAAGAGGAGCAGCACAGATTTCTTTTACATGCCCAACTCGAGAGATGCAGGGAAATTATTAAAAAACAAAAAACAAAAATGCCAGTACCTTCAGCGTGTCCCATTCTAAACACATACACCAACCAGCGACGTTTCCTCGTTTAATCTATGAGAAGAAGAAGAAAAATCCAAAGATAATCCCTGTAATATAGATAAAGCGCAGGCCTTTCCTTTTTCGTTTTAACGCAATTCTCTACTGAGAAGGAGGAGGAGGTGTTACGCTATCTGCTCGCTGCCCAATCCCAAAGCTTGGCTCTTCCTCAATGTAGGCAGCCGGAGCATTTAGAGAAAAACCCTGCTAGAGACAGATAATGTTCAATTCTCGCTCCCCCTCCTCTCCCGTGTGCAGCCTTCTTCTTAATAATAATCTCTAGCTCCCTCTTCCTCCGGTTCAACAAAAGCACCCTGGTAGTCCAATAGGCCTGCTCGGTCTCCAGCGCCACAGCACACACACACACACACACACACACACACACACACACACACACACACACACACACACACACACACACACACACACACACACACACACCGGAGGGGTTATCAGGAGCACCTCGGGATGTGTAGTTCACTCCTCATATGGTTTTAATAGGAAAGAGTGCAGCAGCATATAAATATAATATAAATCTACACAATAAAAGAGGAAATGCATGTGTCAGGTTTCATTTGAGGAAGAGGGGGAGGATGTAAAACAAGAAACAAGTCTATAAAATATATATATATATATATAATTTTTAATTGTGTTATGGTGGTATCCTAGGATGAAGGATTAAATAATAGTTTTAATTTTTATTTCCAGTCGTGGACACGATGCAGATGCTGCAGTTTGCACCAGCGGCTCTGATTGGCTTTTATAGCCTCATGGCCTGATCTGGAGCAGAGAGGAGCGAAAACGAAGTGACCCCTCACTCCGCCTCCATTTCAGGACACCGACACACACATGTTTGTATTCTGTTGGTGTAACTGCGCACCACAAAGGTTATTGGATAATATGGACTAAATTAATTTGTGCTATAGTTGTTTAAAGCACCAGGAAACTTGAGTGTGAAAGATTATCTTTAAAATATCAGTTTTATTTATAAAAACTGAACTCAAGTGCCACTTAATTGCTTTTTTCTGCAGGTTTTAATCCACATTTTACAGCCTTCATCAGCAGATGGAGTGTGCTTAGTCCTCATGGAGGTGGCTCAGTTGGGATGATCTGATGACAACTGAGCTCTGAGCTACAAGAAGCTGATTGAGAAAATACATCGTCAGGGTCTTTAATCAATATCCTTCTTATAACGGCTATAACTTTATTACAATAATCCATATCTAACTCTCTTTAACAGGGAAAAACACCACCGCACATGAGCAATAGGACAATTGAGAAATATCTCTTTGAATATTAAAATACTTGTACTGGTACAACTGTTTTAAAATGTCTGTTCTGAAAAAGAAGTTGTTTTCTTAGTTGTTTTTACAACGTTTCCATTCAGATTCCTTCATATTGAATTATTTTCTGGGGCCAAATATAGCACTGAAAGCCTTTAGTATACACATGATGACATTAAAATGTTTTTGTATCTGTACTGCTGACAGTCGAGTGAGCCACTATAAACCTATACATAGTCGTGCAGAAAATTAATACTGTGCTATACTTTGATACAAAGTTTTGGTCTTATGGCCCAGCAGTAAGGAACAGGCCCTAATAAAGGTTACTGCTGACATTTATGTGATGCTCAGCAAATTTGTGTTAAAAAAATGGGGCAAAAACACTCAAAACCAGCCACTGAGTGTTGTTATAGTGGCAAAGAATTTTTCCAACTTAACCTTAAAAGCAGAAATAGTAGACAGTAGTAGGGCCTCAGATTTACTGCGGTTAAATTCTAGTTTAGTCCACTAATTTGTTAGACAAATATGTGGAAGAGGAGGAGATCAAATTGGACATGTGACATGACGACTCACCATCTTTAAAATCTCAAATAACATGTGAACAACTAAAACTAGGTTCTGTAATCTGGGTTTAAATAAAGCATGATCCTACACGGCCTTTTATTCAAAGAAACATGGCGGTTTATAAAGACACAATGATTCATATATTCAGGTGATTATACACAAGACTTTCCGCCAATCCTAAATGTTACACAGCGGATCTTTAACTTTTTTTATTCTGAAATGTATTTTGAGAAAAACAAAATCCATGTTTCCACTTATAATTTCAGAAGCAAAGACCAATAACATAACAGTGGAGTATATGATTCATTATCTATCTGAGCATGAGAATGGGCTTGTTGAGTAACAGATTACATGTAACTGAGTTACGTTATCAGGATGCAAAGAGACATAATGAGATTGTAGTTACATTTAGTAAAAATGGGGATTATTTAGCAGGATTACAATTTTAAAATACAAAAACAAACTTTTTTCTTCTTCTTTTTCAAAGGTCACATTGTTCTGTTGTCTTATTAAATACACTTGTATCATTACTTCTTATTGACATTTATTTTCTCTTGTCCTTATTTACATATTTGGTATTGAGGTAATCCAAAGGTAACACAAAGTAGTCATATTACCTTACGTTTATATTGTGATACATGGATTAGGTTACTGACTACATTTTAAACTTTTTTTTCCCTCTGACTCAAACTCATTTATTACTTTTGTAGAATAAAAAATCTGATCGACTAAATCGAACTAACTGAATTCAACTCATATATTTTAAACTTTAGATGCTTTGTGGCCAATGTTGGGAAGTAACTAATTGCTAGTAATATTATTACAGTAATAATATTACTTTCCCCAGTAGCTAGTAGTGTAACTAATTACAAATACATTTCAGTAATAATACTACAGTTACCCTCCTCCAAAACAATTATCTACAATATTACTGTTATTACTGTACTGTAATGGGATATCCAACAATGTAATCACATCCTGGGATTGTAATCATGGAGGAAACAAGTTTGGAAGATGGAAACACAACTCATACTTTGAATCTAACAAACAAAACTGGATTTTAATCATCGTAAGTCTGATTTTGTGAAGGACAATTACATTGATTTTGTAGCAGAACAGTAACTAGTAGTGTAACCAATTACCGTTGGCAGAGAGTAATAATTGTATTTTTTAAAAGACTACAGAGTATTTTGTTGTTGTTGTTGTTGTTTTTTAACCACAGAGTAATCCATCTTTACAAACATACGATCTTCGGTCGGTACGCACACAACATTCACGCATGTGCAGTGTGACCTTCCAGTGCAGCTGCCTGGGAAAGGCTGCGCACGCAGAGCGGACGGTTGGGAGCTCAGACACGACGCCTGTACAACCGAGTTAAACGTTAAAAACCCACCGTAAATGGGGTTAACACCTCACCGGGTGTCTCTTTCGTCGCCGCCGTTTACCTCGCCTGCTCGTTGTGGATGGATTATATTACTCTCGTCTCACGGAGAAGCCTTACAACGCCCCGTCAGCAGCGGCAGCCATAGCTCCGTCATTGACGCTGGAGGTTAGTGGGCTCGTCATCCGCGGACATTTCACTCGCTAGCTTTTAGCCAACAGGGAGCTAACCGGCTAACCGGCGAGCTAGGCTAGCTTTAGGGTCCGAGCCGGGTGGTGCCTTCGTTAGCATGATGCTAATGTGGATCTAAAGTACCGGTACATTTTAAAAGGTTTGTAGAGTTGTGATACTTGGTGATATCTAATGTGTGTGTATTAACTTCGGTAGCTCAGGAAATAACCAACATGTAGATTTCCTCCTGAGTCCATTCAGCTGTGTCTGTATTTAACCTAACGCTCAACAGGAAGGTCTGTGACTGTGTTCACACACTTATATCGCTGATTGAGACTCACTGGTTGTGTTTTTAGTGGTTATCCAAGCAATTAAGTGTCACATGGACCTGATTGTTTTGTGATATCCGTCAGATAACCAGCGGCTGTTCAGCTGTGTTGTTACATAATACTGAGCCAGCGTGCTGTGCTGCTGTGCTCATGCTAACATTAGCTTTGTCATATTATATCTTTAAGTTAACTTTCAGAAGCATAAAGTCCGACATCTGTCCGTCTGTGCAGCTGAGTGTGTTTGAGTGTCGGACAGATGTTTTGCTTTTGGTAGTTTTCCATTCAGCCTGTTGCTGCACTAGAGGAGTGAATTGTAATCAGACACCTGCATGCTCTCTCCCACTCTCACTGTCTCTCTCTCTCTGTCTGTCTGTCTGTCTGTCTGTCTGTCTCCATGTGTGCTTTAACAGAATACTGTAATCTACCCCTGCAATGGCCGTCTTTAGTCCCCAGGTGCTACTTGCAGTCACACGATCAAGGTAAGTGAGCAGATCATGGCTGCACTTGTGTAAGTAAGTAAACCAATAACTAGCAATGTAA